GTGGAATGAATTCAAAGAACTTGTTAAGGATAATTATGAAAAGAGAGTAGGAAATAGGGAACAAAGAAGAGAGAACAAACGGTGGAAATTACGAAGACGACAAGTAAAACTAACGTCAGAAAGACAAAGATCTCAAGAATGAACTTAACAAAGAATTTTGGAAAGCTCTGAGAAAGAAAAAAAACAGGAGCAGTATTAGACCAATATCTCTAAAGGGATCAAAGATGGAAGCAGGCAAGCTCAGAAGGAAATTTCAATCTCAAATCAGCCTCAAAGAACAGGTAATAATTGACTCAAAGAAGATCAAAGGAAGATAGAGTGTGCTTAAGTTCTCTTCAACAGAGGTGTCAATATCTAAGTCAACTTAGAAAATATTTAATCACAATTGTAACTGTAAATATATCTATTTACAAGAATCTCCAATATTTTTAAAAAATGAAGTTAGATCAGCACTCCAATCATTATCAAATCAGAAGTCTACAGGAATTGGTAGAATATCTACAAAAATGTGGCAAACAATGGAAGAGTCAGTAAAAGCTACAACTTAAGTTATGCCAGCAAATCCGGAGAACCGCCATGTGGCTAACAGATTGGAAACAGTCAGTTTGCATATCAACACCAAAGAGAGGAGTCTGAAAAGTATTATGTGAGTGTGTAAAGTATTGTATGATATCCTTAATGTCACAAGCTAGCAAAATAATGCTAAATTAATCCGACAACAGATGAGAGCTCTACATGGGAAGGGGAATATTACGTGTTCAATCTGGTTTTAGAAAAGGCTAAGAACAAGAAACATTATTGCTGATGCAGGCTAATAATTGGGAAAAGATGTGGAGACTCTAGAAAGAGGGTAGAGAAGAGCAACAAAGATGATTAGGGGACTGAAGACTAAAACATATGAAGAACGGTTTCAGGAACTGGGTACGTCTGGTTTAATAGAAAGAAGGACTAGGGGAGACATGATAGCAGTGTTCCAATATCTCAGGGGTTGCCACAAAGAAGAGGGTCAAACTATTCTCCAAGGC